GTGTGTAGATGAGCATAACTGTGTGAGTGTGTGTTTTTTACAGCTGCTATAACAAATTGTCACAAACTCAGTGGCTTAAAACAACACAACAAGTGCGTTTCTCTGGACTGGGATCCTGCTGCTGGCAGGGCTGGCTGCTTCTGGAGGCTCCAGGGAAGGGTCTGCTTCCTGGTCTTTTCCAGCTTCTAGAGGCTCCTGCACTCCTTGACCTGTAGTCCCTTCCTCCCTCCTCAGCCCCAGTGGTGTCACCTCTTCCAGTCTCTGTTTCCTCTGCCTCGTGTGAGCACCTGTGACTGAGCACATGGCCCCTCCAGTGAACCAAGATCATCTCCTCCTTTTCAGGTCGGCTCTTCAGCACCCTTAGCGGTTACTTCCCTTCTGCCCTGCAGCCTGGCGCTCACGGGTTCCAGGGACTAGGACACGGGCATTGTTCCGCCTGACACAGTGTGTGAACTTTTTGAAAGAAATGTTAACAGAGTTTACATGCTGCCCTTTAATGTATCCTTCTCATTTAATAATTTATCTTAAAAGGTGATTCCCTGTCAGAAGCTAAAGAGCTGCCTTATTCCTCTTTATCTTAGTACTCCTTTGTGTGGCTTTTTCAAAATTTATTTAACATTTTTAAGGTTTTCTTGAGGTGCTAGAGTTTTAAATTTTTATGTAGTCAAATAAATCAGCCTTTTCTGAGTGACTTCTTACATTATTATGCTCAGGAAGTCTTTTTCCTTTAATGAAAAAAATTAAAGAGTGTTTTCCTTAAATTTAAAAAAAAATCAGTTACATTCGACGTTAAGTTCTTAGGGCTCCCACAACAAGTTGCCACAAATCTGGTGGCTTTAATAGAACAGAAATGGATTCTCTCCCAGTCCTGGAGGCCAGCTGTCTGGGATCACGGTGTCAGCAGGCCTGCGCTCCTGAGGGCTCTGGGGGACCTTTCCTTGCCTCCTCCGGCTTCTGGGGGCACCTGGTGGTCCTGGGCTTGTGGCTACATCCCTCCCTCCAGCCCCTGCCTCTGTGTTCACATGGCCTCCTCGTCTGTGTCTGTGTGTGCATCTCTTTTTTTTTTATTGTGGTACAAAACATATAATGAGATCTACCCTCTCAATAAAATTTTAAATGTGCAGTATTGTCAGTTGTATGCACATCGCTGTACAGCAGATCTCTAGAACTTTTTTATCTTGCACAACTTAGACTCTGCCTGCTCAGTTCAGCTCCCTTTCCCCCTCCCTCCAGCCCATGGCAGCCAACCACCACTCTGCTTGTTCCATGTGTCTCCCATAAGGACACTTGTTGGATTCCAGGCCCATACAGGTAACTAGGGTGTACTCATTTCATGCACCTTAACTTAATAACACCTGCAGAGACCGTGCTTCCAGGTAAGGTCACAGTCACAGGTTTGGGGGCTCAGGATGAGCTGGGCGATTGGCCCTCGGTCCCTCCTATAAAGCAGTCCATGGCGTGTGCAGGTGTCATCCGGGCCCATCTTGTCACCCTGCAGGACTTCAGGGTATGGGGAACCAGCGCAGGTACTCTGATGCTCGCATGCCTTGTGGTACCATGAGTAATAAAGCCCCCTGTGAGCCCAGAGGCTGTGTCTTCTGCCAGCATCCAGGGGACAGTGGTGGCTGCTGTAGTAATTCACAAGTGGGGTAAAACCTCATACGAACATAAACATGCATCCAGAGAAATTCTACGCAGCTTGAATTTTTGTAAGTAAAGTCACTGAATGTTTATGAAAAGCTGACTTTTCATGTGAAATCCTGCAAATCCAGATTCTCAAAGGTTATCATTCTATTTGTTTTATAAATTATGATATCTGTGTCTCAGGCACATTGGGATAGTGCTTACTGGATGCCGTAATGGATAAGCCCGGAGTCTTGGGCTTTGCACAAGACAGGTGCTTTTCCTGCTCGTTAAGTGTCTTCCGCGGCTGCTCCTGCCTGGGAGTCTTTCCTGGTGGCTTTTGACCACGTTCATCTCACGGCTCCCAGGGTCTCCTGAAAGTCATTTCTGTTCTGGCGAGTCAGAAGGCGGCATGGACCTAGAGGATCACCTGGAGGAGGTTTTGGGTTTGCTGTTTTGGCTTAACTTTTTTTATGGAAAATGTTAAGCATGCCAGAAGTAGAGAAAATAATGGAGTGAATGTTCATGTGTATCTGTCACCGAGTTTCAACAGTGATCGACATTTTGCCATTTTACCCCTACCACCTTTTTTCCCTGGAGTCTTTATTTTCTATTGTTGCTTTTAAATAAAGTAGTAATGTCACTACAGAATATAACTAATGTGGATAGTGAGAGACCTGTAACCTTATCCCTCAGAGAGTGCCACTGATTGTGCTGTGTGTGTGTGTTGTCTTTAAGGACTCTATTTGTAAGGGTCTGTCTAACTGTGTCCTCCTTCTAGATGTATTCAGTATATTCCGTTATATGGATAGACCATATGTAATTTATCCAGTTCCCTGTTTGGAGGTATTAGTTTTTCCCCTATTAAGGAATGTTGCACTAACATCCTCATATATATACTTAAGCAAGTGTTTTTTGCAGGATAAGTTCTAGAATTGGAATTGCTGGGTCAAAAAGGCATACACATCTTCAATATTTAATAGATACAGTCAAATTGCCCTCCAGAATGATTATAAAAGCAGAATTATATGGGAACATATAGGAGTATTTTAAAGCAAATCTGAACATCATATCATTCACCTGGAAATACTTAAGTATTTCTTGCTAACAGATAAGGACCTTTAAATTTTTTAAACATATCATTTCTAAAAAATATTATTACTTCTAAAAAAGATTGTGCCTTTTTACTGTTGGCTTGTCCAAATCAGAATTCACACAGGTATTAAAAATGCCCTCTTTATAAAAGAGGTGTTGAAGGGGAGGCCCTCCTTGGGAGCGGTACAGCTTTTTAAAAAATTGTTTTTGGAGGGGTACAGTTTTAAAAGCCTGCCCTGTGTTAATGTGGGTTTGGGACCCAAAGGTGGTGGGCTCTTTTCGGTCCAGGTTTGTTTAATAGGTTTCTGATCTATTTGTATCTGGTCAGTTCCACACTCCAAGTTCTTTTCTAAACAGAGTTCTCAGTCCTGTCTTGTTTCTCTTTGGCCTTGATCTCATCCTTCTGTCTCAGTCTAGGGGAGCTTCCCTGGGGCTCTTGGAGACAAGTCCCTGGGTGAGGTGGGGAGTGACAGCCTTCCTGTGATGTTGGGGCAATCAGGCCTCACAGACTGCTTTCTGTCAGGGTGTTTTTGGTTTTATCCTCCTGTTACTTGGGCTGCGGAAGCTTTTACAAAACCCATGAGACTTTTGCTTTCTGGGCTTTACTCCTTCCTTCCTTTTCTGCTTGGGAAGCAGCAGTTCTCTCTTGAGCTGAGTTTTGTCTTGAAATGCCTTGTTAAGGCAGTCAGTGGTGTTCAGCAACCCATCATTCCGACTCTGCCGCCGCTTTCCCTGGGCCAGCAGGCTCAGTGGGCACTTGTCTGTGAACGGCAGCAGGTGCTGTCGTCAGTCTTTCATCACCGGCAGTATTTCGCCACAGTCTACCAGGCTCTCTGGCAGCCAGCCCACTGGCTGCCACCTTGCTGCGCTTTTCAGGTTTTTGTCGTCAGCAGCACCTCACTTCAAGGTGCTCATTTCTGTACCTGTCAAGGTTCAGACAGGAAAACAAACTACTGTAGGTATTTCAAGCAGGAAGGGATTTGACACAGTGATTTAGAGGCTTACAAAACCACGACCTGTGCTGGGGTGATGGTGGTGGTGGCTGCAAAGCCGGGGAAATCCGTCAGCTTTCAGAAAATCAGGAAACACAGGAATTCCAGGAACCTGCCGCAAATCAGCTGGGCCTTCTGTAGGGCCATGGAGGGTGATTTTCAGAATGTTCCCCAGCAGCTGGTGCACTGTCACACTTGCCAAATGCCAAAGCCCTGGCTCCCTGCTCCTGTGACAGCAACCCTGACCCAACTCCTCATGTCTGCTTTCCAAATCTTGTAGGGGAGCTGAGCCTTTCCCCACTGGCCGGGATTCAGGTCGTGTGGTTCCCTATTACATATGCCAACACACAATCCAGCTTCTCTTCAAATGAGGGAAACGCTCCCTTAAAAAACTAAAAATAGACTTACCCTGTGATCCAGCAATCCCATGCCTGGGCATATATCAGAGGAAACTCTAATTTGAAAAGATACATGTATCCCAGTGTTGACAGCAGCACTGTTTACAATAGCCAAGACATGGAAGCAACCTAAATGTCCATCAGCAGATGACTGGATAAAGAAGTTGTGGTATATTTATACAATGGAATACTACTCAGCCATAAAAAAGAATGAATTATAGCAACAGGGATGGACCTAAAGATTATCATACTAAATGAAGTAAGTCAGACAAAGACAAACATCATATGATGTCACTTATATGTGGAATCTTAAAAAAATGATACAAATGAACTTATTTACAAAACAGAAATCAACTCACAGACATAGAAAACAAACTTACGGTTACCAGCTGGGAAGAGGGGGAGGGATAAATTGAGAGTTCATGATTTGCAGATACTAACTACTATATATTAAATAGATAAGCAACAAGGTCCTACCATATAGCACAGGGAACTATATTCAATATCTTGTAGTAACCTATAATGAAAAGGAATCTATGTACAGATGTATAGCTGAATCACTATGCTGTACACCAGAAACTAGCACAACATTGTAAATCAATTAGACTTCAATTTTAAAAATGAGGGAAACACTGAACTTTAGCAAACATTGGTGAACAGTCCTCAAGATACTGCTTTTCAGGTTTTTGTTGTTGGCAGCACCTCACTTCAGGAACTCATTTCTGTATCTGTCAAGTTTCGGTCAGGAAAACAGAAACTACTGTGGGTATTTCAAGCAGGAATGGATCTGACATAGTGATTATCTTAGAGATAAAGAAGTCTGCTGTCTGGAAGTGAGTATAAAGCAAATGCATACATAAAATTTCATTTTTTAAATTGTTTTTACTTACAGACTATAAAGCAATCGGCAAGATAGGAGAGGGGACATTTTCTGAGGTGATGAAGATGCAGAGCCTGAGAGATGGAAACTGCTACGCGTGTAAACAGATGAAACAGCACTTTGACAGGTAGGCAGTCACATGTTCCAGACTGGACACAGGTGCAGGTGAAGTCAGTAAGGGCAGCTTTATATCAATGGGAAAGTTGTATTCATGTAACAGTATGTAAGACACAATCAGATTCCTCTGGGCAGTGAGGGTTATGGGCTGATTTTTTGTTTACCATACTAGAGTTTACTCATTTCCGTATTTGCTGTAATATCAGTGATTAATAATCACAAAAAATTTAAGTTGTGAAAGTATGCCTCAGTTTAAATAGTCTGTATGTTCCAAGGAGTTGTGTGTATGTTGGATTTTTATAAATGAAAACTTAGATCAAAGACTTTAGAGGTCTCTGTTGTTTAATTAGTTGTGAGTCAGTTACTATATTGAAAAATAATTTCACCTAGGATTAGAGAAATGTATTTCCTGGGAGTGACGGGTTGTCATTTGTGGAGAGGGGAGCTCTGGTTCTGGACTCGTTCTGTGGGGGCCACAGAGCAGTCTCTTAAAGTCCTTGAGTTCACACCTTCTTAACATGTATCGCATTAATGAGTCAAAAACCAGATATGGTTAGGAAACTCAGATTATTGAAGTAAATGATGGCTTTAGTGCAACTGTTAAACTTTTCGATAAAGACGTTTGGAACGCAGCTTTTTTTTTAAATATCAAAAAATTGAAGTCTCAAGATATCTATTACACATTTTAAAAAAACAGTAATTCCCCCACATTGATATAGAGCCTTCTGCAGTGTTTGGGGTATAGATCTTGATTTCAAACTCTTAGTATGAAAAATAATTTCTCAGATCGGAAAGGAGCGTACGACAGTTGTGTCAGAGTATGGAGAGCAGTGATTCCACCCTCATGACATCCCTGCGGGGTAGTCGTAACCATCTCTGCTTTGCGCGGGAGGACCCGCGGTGAGAGGTGTGAAGTGACTTGACAGGTGTCACTCCAAGTCACGAGGCAGGCAGAGCCAGACCAAAGCATGCGGTGTTCACCTACAGCTGCCCAGCTCTGAGTCTGTTTCCCTCTGTTCTGTCATTTCTTCTTCTGTGTGTTCTGAATTCTTTGTGTGTGTTTGTCTTCCCTGTCTTCACCTTTAAACTACACATGGCAGGGAATTTGACGCACAGTGTACTGACGGTCCCGCATCGGAGAGCAGACTGCCTTAAGCAGCCACCTTCGGGAAAGGCAGCACAAACCCAGCAGAGCCGAGAGGCCTTGGAGCAGCGCGGGCTCTGGCTCGCACGCTGGGGAGGCTGCGCTCTCAGCTACAGCAGGACTTGCCGGCCGTTGTTTTGGTGACGAGACAGATGCAGAAGGCGGACCGGACAAACAGCCCACAGCCTTCACGCTCTTCTGAGACTTGCTGTGTCCGAATAACGCACAGTCAGTTTCGCTTGTTGAACCAGCCATCGAGGAGCGGTCACACTTGGTCCCAGATGTGCCTTCAGGAAGGTGGAGATACCTGGAGCACGTTTTAGAAACGTTTCCATCCAAGGTTAGATACTTTAAGGAGCAGTCCTTTGGTGGGGGGACGGGCAACGCTCAGTTTGTCTGGAAAAGTGCCTTCATGTAACCTCGGTCCCCGAGGAGAACGTGGAGTTACTGGAGGGACGTGGCTTCCTAGCAGGCAAGGGTGTCCTGGATCCACTGGGTCCCCGACGCTGAAAGGGCCCTGGCTTCCATGTTGTGCGGTGCTTTAAGACTAATCAAGGGAATGACTGGAAAGCAGCTGGCGAGGTGGGCGGGGTACGGGCCAGTGGGTGGAGGGGAGCCTTCACTGCTGGGTGTGCCATCGTTTGTCCTGTTTCAGAAACGGTTCATGCTCCTTGCCTTAACTTTAAAGGTGATTGATTAGAACACATATTTTTCTTTTAAAAACCTATAATAAGTAAAGATTTTTAATAAATACCACTGAATCAGTGATACTTTGCTTTTTTTTTTTCAAGTTTGTGTACACGGGGGATTACTGGCTTTACTTAAATGGAAGTACACTTCGAGCTCGTGGTATTTTGTGGCTCTCTGATGTACGGAATTGGTGATAGAATCTCGAGCTTAGTTTTGCTAGGTGTCTGCTAGCCTGCGCAATCCAGACCCAAGGGGAATTGGATTTGGGGTTTTTTCTTGTGGTTATTTGCTCTTGATGTATATGTTCAAAACTATAGGAGATGATGATCCAGTGCTATTGTTATGTATTTGGTCATAGTTCCAGCTAAAACTGAGCCGGCTCTGGCAATGGGGAGCATTTTCACGTTGGCTCCTGTTTTTTTTGACACCCCCCATCCTTTTTCTTTTTCTTTTTTTTTTTTAACACTTCTTTACTTTTTGGTACGCCGAGATTCTCTAAGCTCATCTTGTATTTCTCCGGCCCCTAGAATCTTCCATTTCTTGAAGGAGTTTTGGTTCCTTTTACTGGAGAAAGGTATTTAGAAAACAAGACTTTGGCACTAAGCACGCTCATTGCTACTGGAATGTCAGTGCCCCTAGGTCCTGTCAGCAGCAGAGCCAGTACGCGGGTGTCCTGACCCATGTACACCCTCCTCATTAAATAACCATGAGTGTAAACTGATGTAAACATACGACTGAGTGAATAAATGGGATGAGGGGAAAATTCTTCCTGATAGAAGAGCTCCAATTCATAAATACAGAAGGAAAGAGGGAAATAGAAAGTCTTCATCAGAATGCCACAGTGGTAATTTCTGTAGGCGAGATAAACCGATGAATGCTCAAATTAGTAGGTGAAACTTCAAAGGGAGCAGAATTTCTGCACAGCTGCAGATGATCTCCCCCCAAATATTTATTAATTCCTGTGGTGGTTTTAACTTATGTCCACAAATTGTTTGATAGTCCTTCCTTCAGAAGGTGGGGCTTGGTTGCCTTCCTTTTCAGTGAGGGCTGGACTTGGCGATTTGCTTATACAGGATAGAAGGTAGAAAGGGAGAGACAGGAACTTTACAGTGAGATAGCTGGTAGCTGTTGCCCTAACCGCATGATTAAGATTAACATCGTCAGTAATGAGACATGTGCCTCTGATAAAATGGGGCAGGAAGAGCATATCGCCCCCATGCTGTTCTTTCCTGAAGATCCCCACAGTCTCAGCTGATTTATGAGAATATGTCAGAAGGGCCCAGATTGAGGGGCATTCTGCAAAATGCCTGCCCAGTGCTCCTCAAAACTATGAAGGTAATGAAAAACAAAGTGTGGAGGTGACTGAGGGGACATGACACCTTAATTGCAGTGTGATACCTGGATCTTGTAAGAGAAAAAGACATTGGTGGACAAGGGGAGGAAATCCAAATAAAGAGTCTAGTAGAGCTGACAGAGTTATATCAGTGCTAATTTTTGGGTTTGACGGATGTTATGTAAGATGTTAACATTAGGGGAGCCGGGTGAAGGGGACTTCAGTACTAGCGATGCAACTCTTCTGTTAAATCTAAAATAATCTCAAAATAAAAGGTAAAAAACAACTCAGAACAAACAGAAAATGACCATAGGAGATCTGGAATGAGTCATGTTGCACATAGCTTCTTTCATGAAAAAGATGTTACTATTTCTGATTTACAGGAAAAAATGACTTTATAGTTTCTAGAAAAAAGACAACTGCCTTTGGTGTCATTTATAGGAATATTGTTGCTGATAATTTATTGGATGTTTCAGTGTCACTGTCACTTGATCCGTAAGTTTTATGCTGGTCTTTGGTTTTATTTTTGCTTTTCAACCATGAAAATTCTGTTTCTAGCTTTTAGAGCTCTGGAGTGTCTGTCATCATTACTAAACAATTTGATCTTATCACTTGGAGAATAATTTCGGGTCCCTGTAGAATTCACGTCTGCCCCCCTCATCGTCACCTAGACGAGCCCTCAGCGTCCCCTTGTGTGGCTGCGGGCGGCAGGACAAGCTGAGACCCGCCGGCAGGCTGACCCCCACCTCCTCCAAGCTTTACTTCTACTCCTTTCTTTCTGCTCTTACTGAAATAGAAATGGATGGGTTTTGCAATAATCATGGCTAGTATGAAGTCCAGGTAAAGTAAAATAAACCAGCTTGTTTGCGTCGGGAAGGGTACTTCAGCTCCTGAGGCCTGTTTTCCTCGGAGCTGCTCACAGCCATGGTTTGGGGATAACGAGGTCAGTTACTTGAGCAAGGGCTGCAGCATGACCATGCTGTTTGATAACTTTTTTGGTATGTCTTCAGAATCTCCACTTGGACTCACCAGGAGTACACAGTTATTAAGAGGGCTCTTTGAGCTGCGATTGTATTCGGTATTCTTCCTATAGAAATATTATAAAGAAACAGAATGAGTCATTCAAAAAAATCCCTAGTCTCGTATTTAGGATCTCTGTGTCCTGAAGCAGCAAGATGAACAGGTGCAGATCCTAGTCACAGGTTACCAGCTCAGACCCTGAAGGCAGAACTGGCAGCTCTTCCTCTCTTAGTTGTGTGACCTTAGACAATTCATCCATCTCCCTGGGCCTGTTTCTTTCTTTATGCAGCGGAGATCAGCACAGTATCCACCTCATAGGGTCGTTGTGAGAGTTAAATAACCAAGTAGTGGATCAACTTGTCACGTGACAGATGGTGAGGGTTAGTTGGCAGAGTGGTTTGAAGGCTGTGTGGAAATTTGAAGTGCGATAATAGCAGTGATAAAGATGGAGATTACAGCAGTTGTTCCCCGAGCATCTGGTGCCCAGCGATGTGTGAACTATGGGCACATCTTTTAATCCTCAGCGCAGCCCTGGGAGAGAGTCTTCTTTCGGATTAGGGACCGACCCACAGTGAGAGATGAGTCCCTCACGTGCCTGGTGTCGGCCAGCTGGTGAGGGGTGCAGCCCAGCGTGGGCCCCAGGTCTGTGCAGGTCCAGAGCCCGTGTCCTCTCCAGTGCCCCTCCGTGCCGCAGGAGGTAATGCCGCCTTCTGCCCTTGACTTGGAACACAATTTTTCTCAAGTCACATCACTAAATGATCTTCAAATTACTTTTACAAAAATGAAAAGTCTTCTTTGTAAGGTCTTAAATAAAAACAAAGGT